CCGGCCTGTCCCTGGCAGCCGGCGATAACTCACGCGACGCACCGGCACGGCCATTAATTCGATTGAATTTACCCGTAATTACCATCAGGATTAACCGGCAATTTGATTCACGGCTTCGCCATCGCGCCGTATGCCTTAAAACACTCGGCGGAGGAGCGGAGAGGAGCGCGCGCGCGCGCTCCACTTTCGATCTTATTGAGCGCGCGGACGCGATGCACTTTAGACGCGATTACGAGTGGCGGAGGTTGATCGATCGTCCGTCCGCGCGGCGGTCGTCGATCGGCTCGTCCCGAATGCGCGCGCGATTTAACCCATTCGAATCTCTCTCTCGCCGCGCGTTTGCGACCTTTCGAACTTTGCCGAGTGCGAATACGCGATTCGGTTTTTTTCCTCCTCTTTGGCGAAAACATTTTCGCGCTTGTTCGTCGCGTGACGCGATAATTGCCAGCGACTCCCTTCATTAATCAATACCGTCGAGTTGTGCAAGGTAAATAACCTCCCTTTATGCAACACTTCAAGAGTTGCATACGGGCGATTATCTCCCTCTCGAGCAAAAATCCCCGCGCGATCAACGCGCGCGCGGTGAGACTGCAGTCCCGCGATCGCGCGAGGCGCATTGTTTGCGCCGGCGCGGCGAGTCGCGACGGAATCGGTCAATTTGATCGCGAGCGATTTATTTCCGATCTCACGAAGCGTTATCACGGCGGCAACGTGTCTATCTGACGCGCGACCAGCGATCGATCGGACATCAATTACGCGGAACACGTGACGCAGAATACGCGGCAGAACCGTGTATTTCCCGCGGCGCCTCACGCGCCGGAATTCCACCGACTGTGTCGGTCGTCATCATTTAAAAAACGTACATCACACGTAATACACGCGGCCGTCCCATCCATCCGCCGTCGCACACGTTGACACGCACCGTCCCATTTTAATCCACGCGCTAAGCGCTTCCATGTAGTCGTGCATAAATTCCACACGATTTCTAGTGACTCCCGTAGTGGCACCCACTGCCCGCCCGCCCCCCCCCTCCGTTCCTCCACCCACCACCACCACCATCATCCCATCACCCATTCCGCCGACTGAATTATCTCGTCTACAGTCTATCCGCGATGTATAATCGCGCTCGACCGCGCGCTCCGTCGTTCGCTCGCCAAGCGGCGCCCATTGTCGCTCGAGCGCGAGCGCGAGCACGGCGCGGAAATTAGACGGAAGAAAGAGAAAGACGAGAGTCCCCCGAGCGAGAGAGGAACAGACGCGCCGGGGCAGTAATACGTCCCGGCTCGTTTGCGGGATTTGTGACGCGGCCGAGCGAATATAAAAAAGGGGACGCTGGGGAGAAAGAAGAGGCGAGAGGGGGCGCGGGGGGGGGGCAAGAGAGACGGAGAAATCCCTACGTTCTTTATGCTCGATGGCGCACGTCGCGTCCCGAGAATGTCCCTCTCCTCTCCGTCGCGCTGGGGCGCGGGAATAAATTATGAGACGCTGGCTGGCTGGCTGGCTGCTTGAAAAGTTTTGATCCCTGCACCGCTACGCGAAAGCGTCTTACGTGCCTTCGCACCTCGACCTTTCCACTCGTTCGCGCGAACGGTATAACCGCAATCGCGCCGCAGCCGGCAATAGGAAGATCCGTCTTTACGGTGCGAGAAGTGTGTCTCGCTTCCGCGTGGCTGCGCGATCGATCAATATTAAGTGACAAGCCGCAGGCTGATAAATTATAAGCGAGCGACGCGCGCGATAGTGATAGTGGAAAAATTTCTCACGCGGAGGCGCCGCTGAGAGGAAACGCGGGACTCGTGGAAAAAGCGCGCGCGTGATTTCTCCGCGAGTCGACGGCTGCGAGACGGTTGCGTGCAACAAGGGGCTCGTCGTTCCAGCGGCACTTCCACGCGAGACGTCAGTCGCTCGATTATGTCCGAGCGACGTCGTAAGCAGCCATGAATGATACTCGTTAGCACGTGTTTGTTTAATACCGGGGAAATCGCCGCTACACTCTCTCTCTCTCTCTCTCTCTCTCGACCCTCTCGTTGCGCGCATTCAATTACACTCGGCATCGGAAATCTATCGGCGCGATGAGCACGATACTTCTCTTCGCCCGGTGAGCAAAGACTCGCCGACGGTGCATCATGGATTCGTTAGGAGCGCACCGAGCCGGCCGCGTAATCTCACTTTGTACCGCCGCGCCGCGCCACGCCGCGCCACGCCGCGCCACGCCGGCCGTGTGAATGCTCGCTGATTACGCGAGTTGCTATCGAGCGTCGCATTATCGCGAACGGCTGCGAACGGATCGAGAACGGATCTTGCTTGCACTCTTCGACGCGGGAAAAGCAAACGCATGATCTTTCATCACGCGCGATCGAGTCCCCGAGATGTCGACTATGCGTTTGACTACGCGTACGTTTGCATACGCTCCGGTCACATTCGCCACTTGCTTCATTCCACTCCTTCGCTCCCTCTAACGAACGCCATAATTAGCTCCAATTAGCCGCGATTAGTAATCTCGTCAGCGTTCGCAGGCCGCTCGTTAAAGCCCCCCCCCCCGCCCCCCGTTACGAGGGGAAAATCACTGGCACCGCGAAGCGGCGATCCTCGCCGCGGAATTGGCCCAATCGAGTCGCGCGTCGCCGATTCTCCCTCCTCTCGTCAGCACGCACAGAGGGCAGGAATTAAAAGACGACCACCGGCACGGGAACTCAACTCTTTTCTTTTTTTATAAGCCTCCGCCAGCGGGAAAGTGGAAAGCACTTTGGCGGAGGTGCACGAGGCGTCGAGGCCGAGGTACAAGCGCGATCCGCGGTGTCGTGAATCGGAAATTTATCGCCCGACATACACACACACACACACACACACACACAAACACGCTCACGTGTCTTTCGTTTGCTTTTCACCCCGTCGACGGCACTCCGCCGCGATTTACGGACGCCTCTCACGTTCGCGTGTTCGAATTATCTGTCTCTCTTTCTCTCTCTTCCGCGCGCGTCGCAGGTTCCGTGTGAAACGTGTCCTTGAGTTTTAATCACGAATTTTCCGTACGAAAAAAAAAGAAAAAAAACAGCCACGTTCTCTTTTTCATGCGAGCCCAACGCCGACCGCGCACAGAGGAGTGGCGAGCGCTGCGCGTCGACGCGCCAAATCGCAATTTCGCGAAATTCCACGCGCGTCCGTCAAACGTACGTTTGCTCAGCACGCACGCACGCACGCACGCACGCACGCACGCACGCAAGCGTACACTCGATCGCTAAATTCTACTCAACTCTGCGCGATAATTGACTGATGGAGAGGAAAAATGCACCGACCATGTCTAGGGAAAAATTCCGCGCGTTGAGCGTTTCGGCGGGAAAATCCGCACGTGTGTCGTCACGGATTCCCGATTAAATTCTAATGGACGCGACGCACGCGATGTATTTTAACCCCCTTCCTCTCCCGCTCCTCCCCTCCCCGTGAACATCGAACACCGCGACCGATCGTTTTTACCGATCCGTCCGGTGGTGATTTACGCGCGGGACGACGGAGAATCGCCGATCTTGGCGGAAAATCAGCGAGACGATAATGCGCGCAGATAAGACGGGAGAGAGAGAGAGAGAGAGAGAGAGAGAGAGAGAGAGAGAGAGAGAGAGAGAGAGGGCGCAGAACACAAAAGCCGATGGCGTATTAAACGCCCACGCGCAATCACACGCGTGTGTATCTACTCTGTAAATGTCTCCATTGTAAATGGACCCTGTCTTGTGCGCGAATTACCGTAACTCATCGCGACTCGCGCGTTGAATGTGTCAGCGGCCGGATTAAGCTACGCATTAAATCAGTTGTCGCTGCAGCGACGATTAATTTAAATTATTGTGCGCGCGTGGGAATTTCGTGCCCGAATCGGGACGCGTCCGCGAACGAGGGAGAGAGAGAGAGAGAGAGAGTGAGTGAGTGAGTGAGTGAGTGAGTCTCTCCCTCCCACGGCGCGGTGGCGCTAAAAATATTGCACGTCGGGAAAATTGTGTCTATTTGTCGTGCGCGTGACGTTGCGCCCGCGGCGACGAAGGTCGGTGCGACGAACCCGAACCCGAACCCGAAATGCGAAATCCTACGTACGTACTCCATTTGTTAAGGGCCGGTACAGCCGACATCTGCTTTAATCAATATCAGATGGAACGCGCGTTGTCACGCGTGAGACACGCGGAGACTTCGCCGCGGATTTCGTCCGCTTTTCCGCTTTCTCACCGAAGCCCCCCACCGTGCCGGAGAGAGTGCGCGCGTGCATCACTCGATTTCCTCTTTCGAGTCAGCCGCTTCTCTTATTACGAGGGAACGGTATCGAGGCTATTGTTCGTATTTCTTGAGCGAGAGCGCCCGCGCCGGGGTTCTCGTTGAACGGCTGTTCCTGCCCCGTGAAATTGGAGATTCAATTTCGCGGAGTAATTTCGCCGACCGCGTAAAATTAAACGGCGGAGTTAAAGACTCTCGCAAAAGGGATAAGAGGGGAGGGGGCTAGGATCATTCCCGTAAAGTTGGACGCGCGTCGTCGCTGCATTCGTTCGCGCAGCGAACGTGGGTCAGCGACAGCCACACGGCGGAAGCTTGAAATACGTGCACGCGCGCGCGCGAATATCAAGCAAACGAGAGATGGACGATGGTAATTCCGCGATCATTGCGTCGTCACATACTCACGTCGGGCAAAGAGCAGAAAATCGGCGGCCGCTATTGATAACAGAACGAGTGAGCGAGAGAGAGTGAGAGAGAGTGAGAGAGAGAGAGAGAGAGCAAGGCAGACAGAGAAAGAGGAGAGCGAGCGGCCGCTGCTTCCGCAGATTAAATTCTTCGATCGATCGCGGGACGTAAAATGAAAGGGTCTACAGCGGGAGAGAAAGAGAAAGAGGGGTTGAGAAAGTGGTGGTGGTGGTGGTGGTGGTGGTGGTGGTAGCGGTGGTGGAGGTGGTGGCGGCGGCGGCGGTAGAGGCGGCGGTGGTGCGGGCTTCTCTCTCTCTCTCTCTCTCTCTCTCTGTCTCTCTCTCTCTCTCTCTCTCTACGGCCCTCATAACGCTCCAAGTTTGTGCGGACCAATAACCTTCTAGAACGCTATTAAATCGTATGATAAACCCCGCGCATCGCCGGGGATATAAAACGGCGAGGAAAAGGTCGCGCCGGTGCACAATAAGTAAACCCCTTGCGCCAGTGAATTTTTGCTGACGCGACTCGACGCTGCGCCGTGCGCGTCCCTGATGCAGCTGTTGCCGGACCGATGTGCGACATTGCACCGACACGCTCTTTTGGAAGTAAATCCCGCCGGCCGAACTCTCTCCGACAGGTTTCCGGTACTCTTATATTGAAAATTATCCGCAGCCGGTAGGCGGTGCCGCGCGATCCTCCACCGTTTCCACCGGTGTTTTCCTTTTTCTCTCGTATCTCGTCCTCGCAATTAACTTCCGTTCACTTCCCCCCGATTTTTCTCAACGCTCGACTCGCAAGTCTCAGTCGTTTCGTTAGCTCGTTTCATTGACTCTCTCTCTCTCTCTCTCTCTGATTGAGCGGTCGCATATTTAATTGGTCGCGAAACAAACGCTGCTTACGCGTTTCACGCGTAGATTAATGAAACGCGGCGTTATCACGGTCACCGCTGACCACCACCACCACCACCTCGCCGTTGCACTCAACGTATCGATATAATCCGAGTCTTTCGTTATTTTTACGTTATTTTCATGCCGGCTGAATAATTTCCTCATGGCGTTACGAGAATAGTAGTCGCGCAACGTGTAATCGGCTTCGCATCGGCTCGGCGCGGCGCGGCGCGGCGCGGCGTCGCGCGTCTCAGGCGCGTCGCCGCCTGATACAACCCGTGCCGTCGATGTATCGTCGTGAAGAAGCATTAATCATCCCGATAGCGTTTAGTCACGGCGACGTGTTCCTCGGGACGAGGCGCGATTCCGCGATCAACCGGCCCGGACTTGAAGTAAGCCGCGCTCGCGATTCCGTGGCCGCTCTCCTGTCGCCGAGCTCGAATAGTCTCACCTACGCTGCGCGAGAGCCTATCTTATGCCGTTTCCGGCCGATCTCGATCCGGCGAGATTCGACCAGTGCGCGATCGGATCTCGGCAGTTGTCCTCGAAGAGTCGTCGCTCGCTCGAGAAGATTACGCGAATGAGTCGCACGCGGCTGCGGCTGCATCTGCATCGGCTGGTCAATGCATCCGCAGTGGGTGATTAATCGCCTTGCTCCGGTTTCGAGACGAGACGCGCTTCCTCGAGCTGCCGCTCCTGTCCCGCATGGCCGCGCGCTATTGAGGAGAAAAATGACGGCGAGAAAGAAAGAGAGCCAAGCAAGGGGGCGGGAGAACGAGGAGAGAGGAGCGCGCACGCGGTTTCTCGCGGAATTCCTTCCAGCCGACCGCGAGAGCTCGCGCCGGGGATATCCTCTCTTCGCTTTTCCTCTCTTCTCTTCTCTCTTCTCTCTTCTCTCTTCTCTCGTGAGCACTCTACGAGCAACGCATCCGAGCAACGGTCGATCGTGCGAGCGGTCCGCACAAAAACGCGCTCCAGCTCGGCGCGACGCGTAGAATCTCCACCTCCGCTCGCTCTTCGAGGCGAGCCGCTCGCGCACGCCGGATTATGCAAAGCCGCCTTACTCGCTCGTTGACGCTCGCCCCGCGAAACGCTCTCGTCGTCGGCGCACTCGCGTGCTCACGTCCGTCCATTATCAGCCGGGGATCAAATATCGCACACTCGTCGCACTGCCATGGAACTCTGCGAGGTCGAAGAGATCGCCGTCGTCGTCGTCGTCGTCGTCGTCGTCGTCATCGAGAGGCGCGCACGGCCAAGATCACGCCCGTTTCGCCGGCTTTACCCGTGTAACGTGCAATTACACTCGCGTGTAATCGCTAAAGCCGTCCGCAACGACGCGAGTGCACTCCGGTAATGCGTTTACGTATGACGTAATGGTGCGCGTTTGCGCGCTCGGCTCTCGGAAAGTTAACCGCGCGAGATAAATATCATCGCGTACGAGAGGAGCCTCTCGTCGTCGTCGTCGTCGTCGTCGTCGTCGTCGTCGTCGTCGTATACTTGTCGCCTGGAAAAAATCCGCCCCGGCGCGTCGCGCTGGGATATTTATCTGCGTTACGTCCTCAATCTCCTCGCGCATTCTCGCGTTACCGAATATATCGCCGAGTACACGAGGGGCAAAATTTAAATATTCAATTTAGAAGTACCGGATGTGTATAGGCGGCGGCGGCGGTGCCGCGTTGAATTTAAATCCTGTCTTTAAGAGGCTCGCGCCTCGGAAGGAGGAAATTTTCTCCCAAGGAGAGACACTGCTCGACAAGATATGTCACCGTGTTAGCTCAAGCACTTTAGACATCGCGCGGTTGTATGAGCCGTGCCGCTGCGGTTTTTATTCATAACCGTCGCTTAACGTAACGCGACGATCCCGAAAGAGTACGCTGCGGTTATTAAAGGCAAAAAGGAAGGCAAAGAGAAGGCGACGCGGAAAGATGTGACGGAAGCGATAACGCCCTGAATTTATTATTTTTCTCCTTTTTCATACCGCGCAATCTAATTCTCCTCGAGCTCTCGCGCTCGCGCTTTTAATCGCCTTAGTTAAACTCCTTCACGCTGGTTTATCGAATAACTCCGTTGCTTTCTCCGCAGCTCCTTGCGACGGTTCTTAATTCTCAATTGTTTCCGAACCCCCTCATTCCCCCCTTCTCTCTCTCTCTCTCTCTCTCTGTCCGTCTGTCTGTCTGTCTCGACGGGCGAGCACGATCGATCACCGAGCGCTCGCGTAATGGTTAATCGATCTGCCGGGCGTTTAATCGGCGCGGAGCGATTCCTTCCCGGATAGAAATTTCGCGTGCAATTGACTCCGCGATTTCATTGCTCCTCTCGCGTTTTCCTCGCGGCAGCGTAAATAGTCCATTAGCCGAGGCCGCGCGCTCGCAGAATCTCGAGTCGCCCCCTTTAACTGCCGAGCGCGCTGCTGTTTCGCGTTTCCTCGAGATCTCTCGTCGTCGCCGAGAGAGATGCTTCCCTCCCACGTCCGAATAACGAATCTCACGCGAGAGCGGACTCGCGGACTGCCGCCGCCGCCGCCGCTGCTGCTGGAATGCGGGGTTCTTTCGCGTGCAACTCTCGCAGGACGACGATGACGACCGCAGGCGTAATCGAATGTCGCACAGCCGGCGGCGGAGTGCGACTCGCGCGTCGTCGCGCCGCATCGACTTCGGCAATTATCATGTGTGCAACGATCGATCATTCGACGCTGCCGCTTCCGGAGAGAGATTTCGCTTCCTCCTCGCTGCGTCGAGCGTCGCGACGACGCATCCTGCGCTGCCGCGGTGACTACGGCAACCAACGACGCCGCGTCGCGTCGCGTCGCGTCGCGGCGAGTGCGCTCGGAGGAGACCCAGAAGATCCGCGACGCGTAAATCACCGGCTGGCTGATTCGCACTTGCTCGCATCGAGATATCGATCGCGAGAACCGGCGCGACGATGGCGGTTTTTACAAACGAGAGACGAGAGAGCGGAAGATTCTCGGCGCGAGGACGACTTCCTCGCGGACGGACCGGACGCTCGCGTTTACCTCGTCGTGTCCGGCCGTTAATTATCGCGCAGCGCTTCCTCTCGCCGACTTGTCCGACGCGCTTGAGCTTTCTTTACGCGTGCACGCGCGCATCGGCGCGTATCGCGTTGCAGTCGCACGCGTGAAACTTGACCCGCGACACTCCGTCGCAGCGACACGACCCGAGCGACGGGAGAAGCTCGCGGGACGACTCCGCGACGACGACGACGACGACGACGACGACGACGACGACGACGATGATGACGACGACGAAGCGGGAGCTGGTGAACGAGGGCCGCAGCGAAAACGCGATCCCGAGTACACCCTGTCGCGCCTCCTCGACCTGGCGCGCCCGGCCACGATCGGGACGTGCACACATACCCGGCGATGAATCGCGGCCAACTGAGAGGGAGAGAACAGCCCCCTAGACACTACCCCCGTCGCACGGTCGGCGGCTGTGGCATCGCGCACGAAAACCCCCTGCGCGCAACCCCCCGGCAAGCCCCGTCGCCGCTCCGCGCGGGTCCGCATGTTTTGTACGTAGAGCAGCGGCGGGGAGGGGGTTGAAGAGGAGAAGCGTCGCTGAGGGAGGGAGAGGCAGGGAGGGGTGGGTTAGACCTCGGGGCTACAATGACCGCGAGTGGAGTTACTGGGTTAGGTCTGGGGGTTAGTTTAGATGGATCGGGATCCTTAGAATATGAGAGGGACCAAAGGAGTCCCCTCGAAGTCGGTGCGTCGGGACGCTCGAGGGGACGAGCACACACCGCGTCGGCTGCGGCGGAGGGGGTGGCCGGGGCAGGGAGGTCGGGAAAGAGAGAGAGAGAGAGAGAGAGAGAGAAGGGGAGGCATTTGTCGGCTTGTCCGGAAAATTCCGGCGTATTTTTCAATCGAGACGTAATGCGCCGCTTTTTAAGTGGCCGCTATTTGTTCGTTCCGCATGCGACGGCCGCCGCTCTCCGTCTTCCCGGATCGCTCTCGAGTTCGAGACGATGCCTCGGAAGTTGGGTCAAGTTGAATCGGTTTACGTGACGTTACGCCGGGCGAAGTGACGATTCGCAAGAGCATAGCGCAGTCTGTGAAAGTTGGCTCTCTGTATACATGTGTGTGTGTGTGTGTGTGTGTGTGGGTGGCAGAGGAAGAGGCGATTTGTTCTCCTAAATAAAATATTTAGTTGGGTGGAACGCTGGGGGATTACTTTCCTCGACCGTCAGCGCGCTTAATCTGGATGCACCATCGTGCTCTCGCGCGATTCCGCGTTTCCCGCGTAATTACAAGGATGATTATAAAGGCGCGCGCGCGTCCCTCGCGGTCTGTTGCAACGCCGATTACACGAGGAGCAGGGGGAGGAGGAGAGCGGAAGAAGCGCGAGCTTAAAGAATCAGAGGCGGGCTTTAATGCACCGCGCTAGCGTGGTACAACGGCTTAATCCGGATCGATTCGAGGAGATTATGAGCGAGGAAATCGCCTTACCGGATGAGAGAGTCGCGTCCGAGTGCATCTGGTATAAATAGTCGTTGGTTAATTTCAGCGGCTAAGACGCGGAAACGAGGTTTTCCGAGAGACAGCACGACGATGACGATGATGACACGCGACACCGGCGAGAGAGAGAGAGAGAGAGAGAGAGAGAGCGCAAACATTCTTCGAGCGAACGCGAGTCTCGTCATTGAATTAGCGCAAAGACGACGCATTAACATCGCGTTTACGCAACGACTCCGTCGGCTCCGCCGATCTTGATTAGCGTCGCGATCGAATCGCGTTGTGATCACGATGCGATCACGCGACCACGCCCGGGCGAGATCCACCTCGACGGGTCGAATGGTGAATAAATTGGCTGACAATGAAGTCCCCCTCCCCCCGTATACCCCGTGATGCCGGGCGTTAAAATCGGGGTGGCTCGCCGGGCGGGAGTCCAAAATACAATACAGCGTCTCGCGCTGCTCCAAAGTTGTTTGCGTCACGAGCAGCGGCTACGAGAGGAGAGGAGAGCGGCTCGGGCTGAGGGTCGGAATCAAAAAAGGGTGGCCACCGTTACGTCGCTGCGCGCGACCGTTTCTTTTTTTCTCTCCCTCTTTTTTTTTTTTTTTTTTTTTTTTTCGGCCGACCCGACCGCACCGTGCGGCGACGTTGCTCGCGAGGGGGAATCCCGTAAGCCGAAGCTAATCGGCGAATCTCATCCTCGTGTCCGCTCGAGCTGCTCCGACATCGACGTCAATTTGTCGCGATATTCCGCGCGTCTCCTTCCGACTTGTCCGCTCGCTCGTATCCGCGTCATCGCGTTCTCTGCGGCTTGCGCTCCTCTCTGCAAACGCGCAAACAGTGTCACGTCGCGGCGGTGCCCGGAACTCGGCTGGAAATTTTCCGGACGCATTAAACACCTCGATATATCCCGACTGACACGAGAGAGAACCGCCGACGACGATGATTAGAAATCTCGCCACGGCGCGGGGCGCATCGCGTTCGCTCGCCCACGCCTGACGGAAAACGCCTCGCGAACGCCCCGCGGCGTCGGCCGCAGGATCCTCCCCTTCTCTATTTCCCCGCGCTCTCCCCCTCCGTCGGGAAACATCAGACTACGGCTTTGTAAACTTTCACTGGGCGGCGACCGATCGTCGCTCTCGGCTCGAGCTAGCAGCTGAAACTTTTAATAAAGCGATCACAAATCTCCCATCTCCCGCCCAGGTCCCCTTCAGCCTCTCGACGGCGGCACGGCAGAGGGGGAGAAAAAGTGACCCTCTCGACTCGCCCTCCTCTCGCGCCCCACTCGTTATTACACCGCGTCGAGTTATTCCGCCGAGCGAGAAGACGAGTCGTCGGACGCTTCTTCACGGATATCGGCCGGCGCGCCATTAGTCGCGCTGACTTGAACGTATTAATCGGCCGAGACAAAGGCACCTGTTGTCGCGGACGGCGGTGTTGTGCCGTATTTAACGGCGCCTTTCGCGCGAAATATTCCACGTATTGGCCGATCAATTTAGAAATTCCATTAATACGTCATTATCCCGCCGGCCGTTGATTGACATCGCGCGTTTTCATCGAGGATGCGGCCCCTTTCCCCGCACCTGCCCGCGGCCGCGCCGCGCAACACGGAACGCACGATGACGAAATTCATCTGCCGCTCCGGCCGCGCTTGTGCTTTAATTATAAGTGCCTGCCTCGGAGGATACACCACACGGCATGTTCTTCGCGCGATGCGGCGCGTCCGAAATTACGTTTGATTTATCGCGCGAATAATGCACCGCTTTATATAGTAATGCTTCATCAATAACGCCTCTCTCTCTCTCTCCCTCTCTCTCTCTCTCTCTCTCTGTCTCTGTCTCTCTCCCTGTCTCTCTCTCTCTCTCTCTCTCTCTCTCTCTCTCTCTCTCTCTCTCTCTCTCTCTCTCTCTCTCGCTGCCGCTCTATCGCTCTCGGTCGCCCAACTCCGATTCCGGAGCGCGCGCTCGCGCCGAAATTGGATCAGCTCGCCAGATAGCGGGCGACAAAGCAGGTGCAACGTGGAACAGCGCGCGATCGCTCAATGAGAGTAATTAATGGTCGCGGCGCGGCCGCGCATCGCCGATGATAAAACGCGCGGCTACGAGCGGCCGGCAGGGTTGGGGAGGGGACAGAGAACGAAAGGGGATCTCGTCGTTGCCGGCGCGTCTGAAAGTGACATTTTGCGAGGAAGAGGCAGGCGGGGGGGGGAGGGGGGGAGAGACATGACGACACTCACAGGTACCTCGTTGTATAGCGTCGACGTTGCATCAATTGTCGACGCGAATCGTCGATCAGAGCGGCGGATGATCGGCAAAGGCGCGCGCGCGGCTGTTTGAGGAATCGGCGACTCGTGATTAATGGCGACTGACGTCTCGCGTGTCGTTCTTACGAGCGTGCGTGCGTGCGTGCGCTCCTTGCCGCTCTTTTATCCCGAGTACCGCCGCGACTTTTGTTCCGTGATAATCCGCGCGCGGCTGCGACGCAGTCGCAGCGCAAAAATGTCATTAACGTCGAATCGCCTCCCGCCTCGCCCGCCTCGCGACACCGCATTTCAACGGCCGGCCTAATCAATGTTATAGCTACGCTCGGATAATAACGGAATTATGTGCTCGACGTCGCCGCGTTGTCCGGTAATTGACACCGCATCGCATCGCCGGCGGAAATCGAAATAACGCGCGCGCTGCACAGCGCGCGGTGATCGCGTTACGTCCGATCGACGCGAATAACCGAAGAAGAATAATCAACGCGCGAGCTGTTGCGTCTCTCGCACGAGTCAAAAGTTAGTGAAAAAAGGAAATCCGCTTCGGGAGTGCAGGCGTGTCGCGATGATACGCGTGATTCATGGCTTCCTGCTCCGTGCTGTTGTCGGATAAAGCGATTAAGGTACGTCTCTTAAATACCGCGGACAGATTTGACGATCGAGCGTACCGCGCGGCCGATCGGCCGGAGTAGCCCGGAGGCGAGCGAGCGAGAGAGAGAGAGAGAGAGAGAGAGAGAGAGAGAGAGAGAGAGAGAGAGAGAGAGAGAGAGAGAGAAAGAGAGACAGTGGGGGGGGAGGCAAAATGGGAGAAAGAGAGAAAAGTGTCCGGCGCGTCTCCGCCGTAATTGCGCGCGGTGATTCCCGCCGTCTCACCGTCTCCTCTCTTTTTCTCGTGTCTCTCCTTTTCCTCCATTTTTCTCGCGATCGCAGACAGCGGCGCGAAGCCGCCGTTTGCGGCTCCTGCGGCAGCGGTGCATCCGCGTAACGGCGCATACGTGCGATGCAGACGATGCGGTATGCGGCATGCGGCGCGTCACAGGACCGTACGATCGTTGGTGCAAATTGCAGAGCCGAGGCTTGGGCGGAGGGTGGATGGTTGGGCGGGGGTGGGTGGGTGGGTGGGTGGAGGGAGGAGGGCGTCGGGCGGAGGATAATCCGGTCGTTCGTTAATCCGCGAGCATTCGGACGCGAATGAGATATATATATGCGTTTCGCTGTTTTGCAGTAGCCGCCTGTCGAAACGCGCAAAGCTGCTTAGAGTCGCGTGTCCAGCTCGTCGCAGCGGCCCTTCCCCCCCTCCCGCCCTCTTCCTCGCCAAACGGGATCGCTGCTCGCGTTTCGCGGGCACGACGAGTGGAGTTAAATAGCTGCAGCTTGATTTCTCGGCGAGGCGAGAGACGACTGCGACTCGTTGAAGCGAGAAAGTCAAGTGAGAACATGGTGCACCGTCCATCCCGCGGGGTGTCCCCCCTCGCGGCGGCTTAGATCGGACACTTAGCCCGGAGGGGGCGAAAACAAGGGAGCGCACTCTCGGCGGGCAACCCGAAATTAAAGCGCATAAAACTGTCCGCGGGTTGTTCGCGTCGCGCGATGAAAAATCGTGTCATTCGATGGACGGCCGGCCGCGCGCTAAAAGGATGCGTTATAATTTAGCGGATAAATTATTCATACGTTAGGGCTACACGCGTACCCTGCCATTACACGCGGCCGAGCCGCGGGAGGTGCGCGGTGGCGATGGCGGCCGCGCGAATTATGAATATTCAGAAGAGTTCGCACGTCGTAAATTTTCACCTGTCGTGCGCTTTCTGCTCCCCCTCCCCCTGCCCCGCCCTTCCGCGCGGGCGACAATGGACACGATACGTGCGATACGCGCACGCGATGGACACGGCTGCTCTCTGTGTGTCATGGCGAGTGCGCCGCGAAATCTCGGAGTCGGGGAAGCCCGACGCCGGGAGAACCGACGCGCGATCTTCGCCTGGCGATTACGACGGAAAGTTCGCTTCGATCGGCGTGATCGACGGAGAAGCGTCCCGATTTCTTCTTGGGACTCGCTTTTGTCGCTTGACTCGGTTCCCCTGTCGGATGCGGTCCGCGCGCGCGTCCATTGTAAATTTCCTTCGCGACGGCGTTCCGCGAGCAGCCCGGTTCACTTCTTCTTTCTTCCTTCCTCCGTTTCTTCCGTCTCTCCTCCTCTTCTTCATCCCGCAACACCAACGACAACGACGACGACGACGACGACGACGACGACGACGAGTCGCGTGAGGCGGGCGGCTCGCGGTCGGGTCGCGAACGCGAACTCCAAACCGATAATTAACTCGGATGTCACAGCGCGCATATTAGGCACGGAATATTATTCGCGCAATACCGACGGCATCCTCCCCTTGTCGTCGGTCTCGCGCTCGCGACAATCTCTCGACTAGTTCCCCAGCGCGCGCGCGCGGATTCGATGCGAGTTGACGGCGCGCGACCGCGCGCGTTGCAACTTCGTCGAGGACGACGAGGACGAGGACAGCGGCGGCGGGAGTTGAAGTTTCAGTTGCGTCCGACTTTACCGCACTCCCGTTATACGTACATATTGGGCCTTCGCCGCGACCGTGATACGCCGGCAAAGGCCTTCTCTTTCCTCTTCTCGTGCCTTCTCTGTCGCGCGCTCGTGCGCTCGAGTGATTACCTTTCGACTGCAATTTTCGCTCGCTGCCGCACAGAAGCCGAATTAGAGGAAGCGTTGGTCGCCGTTCGTGCGCGAATCGGAGCAAACGCATCGTAGGATCGAGCCTCGGCTGTCTGTGATTACACAGTTACGTCGCGCGTTGATTACGACAGCGCGCGAGGACGAGAGAAAATTTCCATTCGGCCGAGTCCGCGGGGAAATCGAGGCGATCTTTGTCTCGCACGATCTGGCTCGATCGTTGCCTCTCGAGAGCAAACTCGCGGAGCGCCAAAGTCGCTCGCGACGTGAAGCGTAAGATTGTAACACGGAGTGGAGTGGAACACTACTGTGATCAAAGAGTATCCGAACCTTTATTTTTAAGAATCAAAATTACAATTCCTTGCTCCATATTTTTCGGCATCGTAAAAATCGCCGTGCGCAACAATCTTCACTGACACACACAAACAACTGCCACTTTCAAACGGCTTGAGGGAACGCCATGATTTTTTCACCAAATGTAAAGGACACACATATGTGGCAACTTGAGGAAGCAAACGGATTTGATTTACGGTTTACTCGCGATTTTTAAAAACTAACGTTCCGATACCTTTCGATCACAATGATGTAACCCGTGTAACTTTTTACAGGCATCCAGAGGACCGTGCATGTACTGCACAATTCGGAGCAGCCCGCCTCGGTGTTCGCGATCCTCGAGTCCGGCAACAAGATAGTACCGTTGATAGCGGACGGCCTGTTCGACCTGCTGATGCTGAAGATGCCGTCCATCTACAGCAGCAAGAAGCAGACGAAGATTGAATCGAAGGGGCCGCGCTTCGAGCTCGGCGACTTTTGCGTGAAACTCGGCAGCGTGACGATGAGCCAGAACTTCAAAGGCGTCCTGGTGGAGGTGAGTTTTGCTACGCGACAACAAAACGAGAAGGAAAAGGAGCAGAAACAACGACCGCCGGCCGTGTAGCGCTTACTGTTGATTCGCGAAATGTCGCGAATCCTCCGCAGCGATTCTTCGGTCAACTTCCGAAAATCAGCCGCGCCTTACAACATGAATTTTGGCCCGATTGATGTCAAATAAACGTCCCCAAGTGGACTTTCACCGACTAAGAAGCCCAGCGCCGAACAAGTTGAAGAAACGTTTGCATATCGATGATAGTCACTTGTCTCGTTTGTTAAGATTGAAAAATAGACTAGAACTACATTGCAGAGTACTCGGCTAGGTAAGACGAGTACTTCTTTGTTATCGTACAAGCACGATCACAATGCGTAGAATAATCTGTGAGACATCTGAACAATCTGCAGTACTGATTGCGATATATGATATTATTTGAACGTTATTGGCGCTAAATTCATAGCAGGCGCGCGTGCTTTTCCGGAAGTGTATCCCCCATTTTCTTCTCATTCAATCCGCTCTGCCATGAAAATGCCCCGCGCATCGCGTCTCCCATTTTTCACGCTCGGTCTCTGACGAAAACTCGGATCCCCTCATTTCCTTCGCGAATTCGCGCGAGACTCATTCGGAATTCATCTCGCGCCGACCATTCTCTCTCTCTCTCTCTCTCTCCCCTCCTCTCTCTCTCTCTCTTTCTCCGCCTCATTCGCAGCATCGTTTCTCGCGACTGAAACGACGCTCGGTCCTCGATTACTCGATTGTTCCGCGACAGACGGACGCAGAGATCGCCGATCCGAGCCGACAACGTATCCCTTCTTGCCCCCTCCCTCCGTCACCCCCAGGTCGCCGAGGTCACCGGGAACGATATCGGTTCCCGAGAGATTCCCGAATTCCGCGACTGTAATGAATTCTTCGGGCTGGCAAGCGCGGCCCGCGCTCTACTACTCGCTTCCGGCCGGCGGGGAAGCCCCCCCCTTGCCAATCACGCGACGAGTGTGCGTTATCGATTGATAGCGCTCGGTCACGAGACCCGACGCTGCTGTATGTACGCAAATCGCGCGCGCTCGCGCACACATACACATACACGCTCGTTATAGATACGTTTAGGGGCGGAACGTGGCGGCGACGCACCCCTCGTATCGCCGTCGGACCACACACGCGAATACGTGTCCCGCGTGTCAAACTCGGCACGCCGAGATATTTCATACCCCACATACGCCCCTCTGCCCCCCCCCCTGCGCGCAGATAATCGCGCGATTAAGTCCGGAGGACATCGGCATCGATAAATCCATCGCTGTCGCGCTTCGTCAAGCGCCCGGCAATTTCCCCTTTTTAACTATCGCGCATCCTCGCGTGTCAACTTGGTGTCTGGCAAGCTTATCTTTTTCATGTAATCGATAGGCATGGCTGGGCATGTCGTTCTCTGTCGCACGAGTCAACGTGGCCGAGACCTCGTGGGCAACCGCGAGATCGCCGTCGTTTGCGGCTCTCGCGATTAATTAAACGCGCGCGGCGTTTGACGGGCGGCGTTCTGTTGCGCCGCGACATTCTGCTGTTTCCGCCGCGCCTTTCAGCGCTTCGCGCCGCCGCCGCTCGGCACAGCCGCGTTCGTTAGCTGGACCTGGACCTGGACAAGTCGCTCTTGCAAACTCGCAAAGAGTCGCGCGCGCACTTTCAAATGATTACGCGATGATTAGAAGAGCCGAGAAGAGGCGATGTCGAATTCATAGTCGCGTTTGGGCGACAAATCGCGCAGGATTTTAAGTCGCGCGCAAGATTGCGACGCGATACGAATCGCACTCGTTGCGATTCTTACGAAAAATCCCATCGCGATGCACAATTTCATAAATGGCGCATCTCCGATGTTTCAGGCTTATTGTGTACTCGCGCGCGCGCGCGCGCGCGCGTCGGACGGAGAGAGCCGCATTCTTGATCCATCGGATGCCTCGAAAGCGCATTGTTTCGGCGTGCACTGTCATTATACGTCGTAGTTGCAACTGCTGCTGTCGCTGCTGCTGCAATCACGCGGCAACGCAAAATCGCGCGATCGCGATTTGCCTCTCGTATGCGACGCGGAGAAATCACGCACGCTCTCTCGCGATAGCCCTTCTCCTCCTCCGCTCCCTCCCCCCCGTGCGAGCGAAAACATTGCTCGCGTGCTCGTGCCGCAAATTGCACCGCCAAGCGGCGATAATAAATTCCGCCGCGCGCGCGGTGCGGTCGCTCCGGTAATAATAAACGTCGCATCGATTAACGCGAATCGCCGAGTCAATTGTGCAATTTGTTTGACCGAGCGATAATTTCACTCCGGCCGGTCGCTCGCGCTCTCAATGCTCCCCCTCTGTGCTGCCCCCCACCCCCCCGCCCCCCGCCGCGCTGTTACGGCTCATGTAATAATTCCGTTTCGCGAATCGTACATCGGTGTCATCGGCGAGCGGATCCCCCCCTCGCGTCGCGCGAACAAATGGTCGTCAGCTTCCTGTCGAACTTGCAAGACAGCTTCGCCGCGGCTCCCGTGCTTCCTTCTTTTTCCCCGTTTAATCCCGAAACTCCGGCACGCCGTTATGCACTTTGTCTTTCTCTCTCCCCATCTCTCTCTCTCTCTCTCTCTCTCGCTCCGCGTCGACGGTGCACAGCTTCCGCTGTATCTTCCGCCCCGGACAGACTCATCCGGCCATGCAGCGGCGGTGGCACGTACACACATATATTCACATTCACAGATACACATACACACACACACACACACACACACACACCCTCTCTCTCTCTTTCTCAGGCAGCCACCCACGTGCGTCCGACATCGCGGCTTTAAACGCTCCGCCGGCCATTCGTATCGGTAACTGCGTCGTTTGTACAGAGCCGCGACGTCAAATACGTCACGATAACCCCCCGACTCCGCCGTTAATTTCAACGGGCGGCAGGGCAAGCAACCCCTGCAGCTCTCGCGAGGTCCGCGCGTTAAATCTCGCGACCCCGCGAACCCCCGCTGCGCGCCGACGACGGGACCTCCGACGGGGTCCTCCGATGCTCTCCTCTCTACAGCTTCCTGCCGTAGAGCGACGAGCGCTTCCTTCCTTCCGCTCGACCTCACTCTTTCTCTCTCTCTCTCTCTCTCTCTCTCTCTCTCTCTCTCTCTCGCTCTCTCGCTCGCCACCCCCGCTGCGATTCTCGTTCTCCCGCGATTCTTAACACCATGCGGTCCGACTTCCATCAGAGCCCGCGAACACGACTCCCGGCCGCGTTGCAGACGAACGACAATGACCCAGTTTGGAAAAGCGACGACCGAAGGAAGACACACTCCGATATTAACCGCGAGCGTCTTCCCGAGCCCCGGTTTGCTGCGGTCTGAATAATTGTTTCAAGAGTTGTTTGCTTATGTTATAGCGCGCGTCAATCACACTCGAAGAGGCCGCGCTCTTCGCGCTTCGCTTTGCAGCTGTTTTACATCACTTGACGCTGCGGCGGCAATCGTTCTCTCGAGAATTTTTCCTCCCCTCATTTCTCTTTATTCTTCTTTCTGTTTTTTCCCCCTTTCTTCTTTGTTATTTCTTCTCTGCTCTGAGCTACGTAAGGTGCTAAAAGGGTTTAGTCTTTTAAACAGTTAATGAACCTGTCTCTCTCTCTCTCTCTCTCTCTCTCTCTCTTTCCCCCCCCCTCTCAGGGGGACGACGAATCTCTCGCGTCCGCTCATACGAATGCTCGAGTGCGACGATGCTTTCAAACGGGATTAACCGGCGGATTATCATAAGCGCGTTATTTTCCAGGACGCGCTTGCTTGCGATTGTCTGCAAAGTCGAAGTCGCGAGTTGCCGATTTCGCATCAGTCTCATCTCCGCTATCCTCTCCCGCGCGTCCCTCCCCACCGACACACACTGTAAGCCGGATTATGCGAGAAACGTATAAGGTCCTTGTCGCGGATATTCCGTCTTCGGATGTAGCAAAGCCTCCCCCTTCTTCCTCCTCCTCTTCTCCTGTTCGCCTTCTCCACTATTGCGTTAGCGGTGCTACCGCGTCGATAGCTGATCGTCATCCCCTAATAAATATCAGCGTGCCGCACGTGCGTCAATGCCGACGTATGCACAAGCAGCGAGATAATAGCCTCAACGTTGTTTCGTGCAACTAGGTCATTAGGATCTTTTAATTGTACGCAATATTGAATGTATTATTTATCGTTTATTCAAAGCATAGAGAATGCGATGCCGCCGTAGCGGTACGTTCGCCATGGTAGTAAGCTTTGTGTTGAGAGCAATTCGTGCGATCAGACGATACGAGCAACCTCGTGCCGAATCAGTCGCCGATCGCGACGCGCGTCCGGCGATCTTCCCTGAGATTTTCCACCCTGACTGTTTGCTTCGCAGGTCGAGTACAGACCGTGCATGGTACCGGCGAGCGCGTGGGAATTGATACGCGAGTTCCTGCAGGGATTCCTGGGCTCGGTCGTGTCGAGTCAGATGCCCCAGTATCTCCAGGTAATCGTGATCGTACTTTCAGACTTTGCGAACGACGATAACGCATGAACGTTCCCCCCCCCCCTCCCATCCTCCCCCTAACGTTTCGCGAACATTTTGCAGAGCCGAATGAACGATATTTATCAGCCGCTCGACACGATACACCAATATCTGGAGCACTTCGGTCAGTACAGGAAGGCCACAGGAGTGATTTAAACGGGCAGCCGCGCGACAACGACAACGGTGTGACGACATTGGGGATTTATTTGATCGCGACATCTACGGCAAAATCGATCCGAGGCGCGAGACCAGCCCCGAGGAGACAGCCGATTGGCCGAGTGCGTCTCGGTATCTGTGTTACATCAGAGTGTAGCTCTGTGATATCGTTAGCCTTCGGCGCGCAGCGGCTCGCTCGTTTAATTCCGCCGCCGATGGAATTTGCTTGTTCCTCGCGGAAAAATATCCAAGTTGTAATCCGCGTGCGAAATCCGAAAACCCGCTGCCGGTCGATCCGAAAAGAGACACCTTCCCGACGAATTCACCATGGTTCTACAGCGTGACGTGATTGATGTCTTTTCACAGTCACGCGCTTTGGAAGCATTTATTTTTGTAGTTCTTGAACGCAATTTTTTTTTTTTTTTTTTTTTTTTTTTTTTTTCTTAATGGGAATTCAGGATGATCCATCATGAGGAAAACAAGAGCTTCGATTGCGCACGAGATCTCGACATTTCCGCGACACCTTCCTCAGAGTTACGTGTCTTGAATGTAACTTTTTCTTTTTTTTTTTTTCTTTTTATACGCGTTTTATCTCGGAGCGGCCTTTTGCCGACAATACCGGCAGGTAACATACGATACAACGTATTGTCCGAGAAAAAGAAACGTATTATCGAGGAAACCCGATGGCGGCTATTCGAACGACCGTGCGTAATCGATAATGAACCGTCATTGTGGGTCGCCGTCATTACTTATTATTTGTAACGCGCTGCCTCTCGCTGGTTATTCGTCGTAAGTTCCGTGGTGTAACTGCGTTTATAATAGGACGAGTTTTTGCCGATAGAAGTAAACGCAACGGAGGAGTCCCTTTCGCTCGCCGGGTGATTGAGTATTCTCCGACATGTAGTCGATGCACCGTCATCTTCCGCGATTGTGTATACTCGTGTGCACGCGCGCTTGCATGATTCGTGTATCATCAACTTGAAGGTGATTTAAATTATTTAAAAAACTAGCTGTACAAGGTAGTTATAAGATTACCTTATATAACGAATCCACTCATATTTTAGCGATAGATATCGACAAAACAGTTACTTCTACATAAGTGCTACTTGTACATATTACCCAGAAATAAAGATTAGTTTGTAAAGCTAGTAATGTTGAATCGGATTATTCGAAAATAAAAGTACCTTTATCAGTAGTATAAAGACTAATCTTGGCAGTGTTGTGCGAATGTAAATTAAAAAATTCGTCGGACGCTAAAATTTTTCATAAAGTTTGTTCAGCTGCATCTCGCGGGAGTCACAGATAAACGGAGTTTATGTCGCTTATGGAACTCGTGAAATTCTTCCTCTGTTAATTTACATACCTACTGATTACGACGCAATGTTTTTCGCCCGAATTATTCAACGTTGAAACATAAACGGCATTTGGACTTTAAACGCTCATAGCTGGCAAACGAATCGATGTATGACGTTCGCTGAGCAAGGAATGGGAAGCAAAAAGTTCCCTCTTTAGAACGCATGTATCAAAATCTTGATAAAAATAAACGTTTAGTGTGAAACTTAATTGAAAGATGAGATTAAAGATTCAATACTCACCATTCCTCATTTGTCTCAATATATCAATACTTTAATAATAAATAATGGTAGTGTTATGAACTTAATACGCTCGAAAAATTCGAAATCACACTTTAAAATCGTCTTTTTCGCTCATCTCGCCATTGTCATTTTTGTCGAAGTCAGAGCCCGTTGAATTTTGCTTATATTTCCGTACCGTAGAAGGTTAGAAGAACCAATTGCATCCATTGAATTGTATCTATTATCGTATTGTCTCAGTTGCTCGGTATGGTGGCGGCTCGTAGCGGAGACTTTGAAACTAAAAATCACTTCACGCCCAAGACCCCCAAGCGATGGGCGATTAATGTTTTTCGACATTATTTTTATCTCATAAAGTTGATTATTCTTACTCTACCCTGATTAGTTCCTAGATAGGTTTTCGTTTGATATTATTAAAATCGCTATTAATGATGTTTTCGAATAACTAGTTCGGAAAAAGCTAATTTTAGCCAAGACTCAAACTACAATTTATGGCGTCCGTGAGAATTAACTGAAGCTATAATTATAATTTACCGACCTGCGTAAAATGTAGTTGAGACTTGTACCATAATTTATCGGCATCTATAAGATTTAGCTGAAACTTGAATCGTCTCATAATTTATCGAGCTCCATAAAATTTAACTGAGACTTAAGCCACAATTTAGCGCTTAGTAATTATATTAATCACGTTGGCTCAGAAAGATACTATGTTTTTAAGCACAAAACTTGTTTCCTCTCCAGAGAGAGTTAAACTTATAATTGTCAATCTGTAATTTATATGATAATAGCTACAAACTTTTATAATTTATATAACAGGGAATCTTAAGAACACATAAAGAGTCTAATTCGGGACTTGTTATTAGACCCGTTATTTTCGACAATTAGTTCCTGAGTCTCCGCTACGAACCGCCACCAAACTTAATGAGGAGTTGCGGTTGTGGTTGATTGCCATATAAGTTCATGGTTAATGGTTGCATTTTCTTTTGTTAATAAAAAAAGTTGTGATACGACTCAAAGGTCAATGGAGTCGGCTTTATCCTTCAGGTAGTCTCATTCAACGACAAGTTCTTTATTCTACCGTTCTTTATTCTACCAGGAAAAATGAACAAAATTCAACGGGCTGTAATTTCGGCAAAAATAACAATAATGAAATGGCTGAGGAAGCATTTTTGAAAGTACAGCGTGTTTGATTGCCACTGGAGTTAAATAAGAAAGAAAATTGATTGTTCGACGTTTCATCTTTCAATTAAATTCTAACACTGAATATTTGTTTCTAAGAAAAATATAATAAAACTATTCTAAAAAGAGGACTCTAAACTTTTTATTTGTTACTTGACGAATGTGTTACATCTCGATTAATTTATTAGTGCTATTTATTTTTTATACACACTATATAATTATTATAGCTCTTACGTGAGATTGCTATTATGTACGCAATTTCAGGCACTTTAATGTGCGTTTTTTTATATTGATATATTTTTATGACTTTTTTTTATCCGTAATATGGAACTATGTCACTTTGTGATTATCTGCAAGTTCACCATAAACCTGTTTTTGAATAAGAAATGAGATAATAAATAATTAATTACCCAGGAAGAAATAAGAGTCGAATCGACATCGATTAGCCGTCGATGACGTCTAAAAGACGTCGAATCGACGTCTATTCGATTTCCCACTTCTCTCTGGGTATATATTTTTTATTTTAATAACGCATGTTGACCTCATATACGTTTTCTAAACCTTTCTAAACGTATCTAACCTTTCGTAAACATTTATAAAATGCTTCGAGAATGTTTTTTGAACTGCACGTATTACTTAACATGTAAATCGTCATACGAATACATTTGAACACGCGTCAACATTCAGATGAATATTTATACAATACAATACAATACGACTTTAAAATTGCAGTTGATAGTCGTAGTCATTGTACGCCTGTATAATCGTAAACTCTTGACTGGCTAATTTTGCAATTCTCACTTCCTTTGACGAAACGAATAGTCGCTACGACTCTGCGCGGCCGCCATTCCATTTCTTATGAGCTTGTGAGGAATGGCTGCGTTCAGCAGAAATAGCTGCTTACTAAGCGCTTAGTGATTATCGCTCCTGATTGGTTCGTTCCCTTGGATTCGTTAAAGATCTAAAAGAATACTCCAATCATAGTTAATAATCACTAAGTGCTTAATAAACAGCTTTGCCTGCTGAACGCAGCCAATGTCTTCGATCATCAAAAAGTGCGGCATTATAGGTCACGTGACCGTGAACGCAACGTCGCCACACCGGTACTAGCCGAGTGAGTTGCACAAAGTGATCGAGAGTGACAGCGGTGAGGGTACTGTCGTGGTGTCGAGTGAAACCGGTAGTTTCCAACGGTGTTTTCTAATACAAACGAGACAAACTTTTTAACGATAATGGAGGTAAGAACTTATTGTCATTCAAGATATACAATTCTACTGTGTAATAATCTGTATAATAATCTTCCCACTCTATTTTCAGATTGAGATCCGATCAGTAAAGTCCTCCAAGTTGATAGCTAACGTGCCTGTGAGTGAAAAGTGTTGAGACAGTTATGTTTAATTAGTGATAAGTTATCTATAAAGTTAGGATATTTAATTGGAAATTGAAATTTAATATATTTCTTTACTTCTTACAAATCTTCCCGAGAACTGATCAGAGATTAAAGATTAAAAAAGTATTTTTTAGCCTGAAATTTTAATCACAGGTGGAATCGAGCACAACTATAGGAGAAATCAAAAAGCAGTTGCATAAATTAAAGAAAGCGCCGTATGTTTCAAGACAAAGTCTCAGATTGGATGCCAAGGGAAAATCATTGTCTGATTCTGAAACAGTGAAATCTTTGTCGCTGAAGGCAGGTAGCAAATTATATTTCAAGGATCTTGGCCCCCAAATTGGCTGGAAGACTGTATTTCTCATAGAATATGCAGGACCATTGGTACTGTACCTCTGGTTGTATCAGCGTCCATGGCTCTTTTATGGTGATGGTAAAACTAATAATTATCATTGTGTGGTCAAGTAAGTTATTTTATTAACTTTCTAAAAATTTATCTAAAAATTTATCTCTATCCCTTTGTTACAAATGCATCATGTAATGCAGAAACATACATGAATATGTCCTTATATAAATATTTCTTCTACAGTACTGTATATTACATAACAAACAATTTTCCTTTTAGCTTTGCGGCAGTTTGTTGGACGGTGCACTATGCAAAACGCCTCTATGAGACACTATTTGTTCACCGTTTCAGTCATGCCACGATGCCATTGCAGAATTTATTCAAAAATTGTTCCTACTACTGGCTCTTTGCCATATATGTGTCATATCATGTGAACCATCCATTATATACGGCTCCAAACTCTTGTCAATTCTGGATTGGGACAGCTATGTTTGTGCTGGGTGAATTAGGAAACTTCTTCGTGCATTTATCCCTGAGAGACTTGAGACCACCAGGCACTACAGTCAGGAAGATTCCCATGCCATCCAGTCTTTTCACTGCACTCTTCGAAGTTGTCTCTTGCCCTAATTATACATACGAAATAATCAGTTGGATTGGTTTTACTGTGATGACGTCGTGTCTTCCAGGTAAATTTGCATATGATGGAAATTTCATTGCGTGCGAGACGACCTTTGATATGTTTCACTTGGACTTTGAACGTCTCATTGCAATGCTAACGACACCTTTATATTTATTTTCAGCTGGTATATTCACACTCGCTGGTGCGTATCAGATGACCGTATGGGCGTTGGGGAAGCACAAAGCGTACAAGAAGGAATTCCCGAATTATCCGAAGAATCGTAAAGCCATCATTCCATTTATTCTTTAAGTTATCGTATTTATATCAACTCGTTTACGGGACAATGTTGGTAATTTTCGATACCATTTTTTACTTTTGTTAAGATTTTTATTTTTGAAATATTAATAAATTTATGTTGTAGAACTTCGTAACGTTCCCTTCGCCGTGAATACACGACGAATAGTAATATTAACTGCTTAACTAAATAATATTCGTATAACCGCGAAAAAGCATAGGATGTAAAAAGAATTTTATTGCGCTTTCTTTTATTTTTATTTTTTTTTCAAATAAACTCTATCTCATATGATAATATATAATACAATAAGCATATATCTTTCAGCATATATATATATATATATATTTCAGCATATAAATATATATTAAGCATATATATTTCAAATTACTTCCACTGTATGTTGATGTCGCTATTCATCATTAAAGGTACCTTCATACTTAATACTTGACTCTTGAGAAGAGGAGTGAATACCGCAAACGTGTTCAAAGCGATCTCTTTCTTCCTTTCGCCTCTTCGGAAGATACTTTACTCATGAGTCGCTTTGTATCTTCTTTCAGCGCCACGATAATCTGCTGATATTCCTGCATCTGCGCTGTATATTTCTCTCTCACTTTCTCGTAACCGCGATACGCTTGCTGCATCGTTTCTCTCATTTCTGCGGATCGCGCGTCCTTCCGCGTCGAACCCAGCAGGCTTTCCATCTGCAAGATGCGTTCCCGCGCCTCCTTCAGCTGCTCTCTCAGAGCGTTCAGCTCCACGATGAGCGTGCTGTTCTCCTCCGTCATCCTTTCTAGATCTTTACCGCCCGTAGATGTGTCCTTGAACACCTGCTTCTTGAGGGACGCGACGGTCCTCTCCAAGAACTCCCGCTGCCTGATGAACTCGCAATATGCGTCCATGTCCGCCTTGCGACTACGCAGGAACTCGTCGGCCGCGCTGTACTTGTGATACAGACTCGTCACCGCAGCTTTCAGAGCGCTCGGCTCTTGCACGAGGTCGGCGGTGTCGAGGATGTCGGTGCGAATTCGTCGCACGAGCTTCTGGCACCTCTTGTCCTTGCGTATCTCGCTGCTAACTTCCTGCCGCGTTGCCTGCAGTTTCTCTCGCGCTCGGCTCAATTGCAGCCTCAAGCTGGCGTCAGTCTCCCGATGACTCTCCAGTTCCGCCTCCATGTTCTGAATCTTCTCCTTCAGCTGCTGTATCTCCTGATCCCGTGGCTCTATCTGATCCTTCAGCTCCTGTATTTTGTGATTCAGCACGAACTTGTACTTCTCCAGCTCCTGATTCATTCGCAGCATGTCGTACATCTGTTGCTCCTTGTCTTGAATCGTGGCGTCCCGCTCATCGATCTCCTTCTTCATATCCGCGATCTGCTTGTCCAGGTCCTGCATGTTCTTGTGAAACTGTGCGTATTCTCCTTGCACGCGATGCATTTGCCTCTTCAGATCATCCACGTCCTTCTGGCTGGCCATGAATCTATTCCGCATCACGCCTGCTTCTCCCTTCAGCTTCAGATTCATCTGCTTCTCCTCGTACAGGAGATTCTCGTAGTTCGTGCGTAGCTCGAGTATCTCGTGATCAGCGTCGTCCTCTATCTGCGCCATCAGTCGCTCGTGAACGCGCTCCTTGTGCGTCATCTCGTCAGAAGCCTCCTCAAGTTGCTGTTTCTTCTCGTGCACGAGAATCTCGTATTTTGTCACGGTGTTCTGCAGTTGCTCTGCGTCGCGTTTTTCAAGATCGAGCAGCTGCTGCTCGTAATCCCGACGCATGACGTTGGTACGCTCCTCGAACGCCTGATACCGGTCGTATTCCGCGATCAACTTGGCCTCGTAATCTTTCTCCATTCGTTGCATCGCCTGCTCGTGGGTGGTCTTTGTCTTCACTATCTCCACGTTTATATTGTTGATCTCGTTTATGTGATCCTCTTGGAGCTTCTCGATCTTCTCGCGCAGTTCCTTGATGGCCTCGCAATACCCTTGATGAATCTCGCGCAACTTGTCGTTGTGCAGCACGTCGATCTGCCGTAGTTTGTACGCGTGCTCGGTTTCCAGCTCCCTTATCCGTACCGTCAGGCCCCTGATCGTGTTTATCTTGTCTTCCAGATCCCTTTTGCCGATCAACACCTCGTTCGTGTATGGCAGGTCCCTGCCGATCTTCAGGACCTTGCCTTCCGCGTAGTACAGCTTCCACACGCACAAACTGCCGTCCTTCGCGACGGATATCAAGCAATTCTCGTTGTACGAGAGTGCTATCTACGGGGAGAGAGAGAGAGAGAGAGAGAGAAACGAACGTAACGAATTAGAAAAATCAATCTATAACATGTGTATACTTGCTAATTAACGCATCGATACCTTCGTGATGTCGACGCTGTGTAGATAGAAGTCGATCGACTCCACCGGGCTCTGAAGCGGACACCTCAGCGACAAAATGACACCACCAGGACAAGTTACGAACAACGACAAGTCATTCTTCCCCATGATCATGTGGTGCATTTCTTTACCAGCCAGTCTAAAGTCCCGTACTACCTAATGAGAGACATTACGAGCTGAACGCGATTTACACACACACACACACACAGTGAAGAGCAACACGAGTGAGAATATTAAGGTATACCGTATTTTCTTTGATCTCGCGTATGCGATCATCGTTCGCTATGCAATACATGTACGACGTGTCCGAAGAGAGCGCGAGGTCGTGCAAGTTCATGCCCTTCAGGATGATCTCGCCGGAGCGTGTGCCGGTGGCCATGTCCCACTCGTAAATCGCACCCTCCATTCCCATGCTCAACATCTTCAGATCCGTCTGCGACCACAGCAACGCCTTCACCTTGCCCGTGTGACCCTTCAAGACGAAGGGATTGTGGAAGCCGATGGTGGTATACACCTGCACGATGTTGCCGTTGACCGCGGCGAACATGTGGCCACCGTGGCTGAAACGGACGGTCTTGCAGCTCCTGATGGCGAACTCGTGCATCGGCAGCAGGTCGTCGATCAATACGGTCATGAAGCGCAGCTTGTCGCTGAAGCCGATCAGACAGAACAGCCCCATCGGGTGCATCGCGATGCTGCAGATCTCCTCCGCGTATTGCTTCAGCATGACCAGACTTTCGGTCTCAAAGTCCCACAGTCTGACGCTGCGGTCGAACTCACCGCACGTCATGAAGACCGACTTCCATGCGCACATGGAGAGGTCGCCGATGGGGCCGTGATGCAGCGGCTGGCCCATAACATTCAGCCGTTGCGGCTCCGGGTCCATGTTCAGATCCGGACCCCACAGCGTGACGTAGAACAGTTGCGACCAGCCAGTGGTGACAATCAGATGATCAAAGCTAATGTTCACATTGATCGTGTTGATCTTGTACAGCTCCGGAGCATCCTCCTTTGACCGCGCCTGTATCGGCACCACGTAGATGTTTCTCTTCGTGTACTTGTGTTTGCCTTCCTTCTCGAAGAGGACTATAGTGCCTACGCCCAAGGCGTAAACGAATCCTCTCGGGAACGCAATCAGGCAGCGTACATGTTGCTCCCAGACGTTGTCGCGAGGCTCCAGGGTCATCTGCGAGCTGTGATCCGCGGACATTACGTACTCCTCGCGGATTTTCAGGTTCATCGACACCGTCTCGGATATCTGATAGATGTTCTTCAGGTCGCCGTTCTCCAGATAAAGTATCCGGCCGTCCTTGGTGCCTGCCAGCAGTCGATCAGCGTTGAGCCAGGTCATCGAGCAGATGAGGAGGTTCTCCGCCTTGGTGAAGCCGTACGAACGCCACACTGTCTCGGCGATGGTGAGGAATCTGAAGGTGTACGGCCCACCGAAAGCCATCACCGCCGATTCGGCCGGATTACACGCTATCGTCTCGGCGATCGCCAACGGGTTCTGCGGATTAGCCACCTTGTACGTGGACTCCACCTTACCCTTCTCCCAATTATAGAAGAGCATCGTTTGATCGGGTTCGCCCGTAATGGCAGCTATGTTCTTACTGTCGTGGGTAAATGCCATGCACGAGAATCTCGTTACTCCTGTGGCTTCGTAAGGTATCCCAAGTAATTTCTTACGTTTCAGAGAGGCAATGTCGTAAACGGAGATGGTAGGCTTCTCGCCAGTTTCAGATAGAGCGACGAATTTCCTTCAAGTGAAGATTGCGGAAAGATATTGTCGCGTATTGGTCGTGCTTAATATATTTAAGCATACAAGGAAAGCCAAAGAGACGTGAATTAAAGCAGCTTTATTTTATATAGTTTAGGTGTCGTAATCTTTTCAATGTTAGGATTTACTCACTTATTAGGCGAGACGCAAATGACGTTTATACGATGTTTGTCCGTCAATCGAATCAATTTCTGATCGCGCTGAGCAAAATTGTGGACTGCCAGTGCGTTACCAACTGGATACAGAATCTCCGCATCCGTGATGTAATGCGCATTGCCAATGATATCGGTTTGTAAACCGTAGAAAACTCGTGTTTGCAAGGACGCAGCCATTGTCGTCGGGAAAGTTACAAGATCCTCGGGAGAAGCCAGTCAGTAAAAGAAGCACCATATACATATCTGAAATAAACAAGTTTTGTTTTTCAATTGCGTTGTATATTTATCCGCTTCCTATATGAAATCCCCTTGCCTTTCTCCTTTCTTTCCACAATGATCAGATATTATTTTATGATTCATTCATGCTTATTCCGTTTTGCAAGTAGAAAGAGAGTGTGGCAGATCTAATATGCCAACGCCAACTAAGCAAACTAACTGAATCGTTTGCATCTCCTGGGTAACGCGTTGCAGAACAGATAAACTCAAACGGTGGTCGAAAGTTTAGACTTTCTACTCACCCCCCGGGAGTGATACGAATGATCGAGCGGATGTGTTACCACTGAAAATTCAGATTTCCATCGTGGACATGGTAGAAATACAATCTTCATCATCTACATAAGAGAAATTCAATTTTCATGATGTAAATAATAAAAGATTCCGAATGTTCATTATGGGCATGACAAAAATTAAATTTTCGTTATGAACATAATAGAAGGCCAATTTTTTACTTTACATATATAATGAAAATTGCGAATTTTTATTGTATATATAAGAATCAAAGTTTTATCAAATTTTACTAACGCATTCGAATCGTCAAAATGTCAGCTAGAGTAATTCTCGACCGCCACTACCAGACTGCGCTGGTAGTAAGGATTACGAATGCCGTTCTCAAGGTTTATTTTATAACTGCGGTAAGTTGCACTGTCTACACTTGCAATGAAATAGACATATACATTTGACTGCTGGTGGAGGAGAGAAGAAAATAGAAAGATTTCAAGACAGTCGAGAAAGTGCACGTACAAAGGTAAGGCCCCTTGCACAATGCCAGGCAACGAGCAATAAGAATAAAAATAGACCAATCACAATCGACTGTTACAAGAATAATCTATTGTGATTGGTCTATTTTTGTTCTTATTGCCTGTTGCCTGGCATTGTGCAAGATGCTTAACTGCAAAGATCTTTTGTGTGCAGCCCGGTGCAACCCGAGTGCAGTGAAGTGTGGTTCGTCGATTTGCGTCAAGATGCTGCCTGGTGTGTGAGAAGTTGAGCAATTTGGAGGTAACTCTCCTTGCTGATTGTGCGTTCGCACCAAAAAGAATCCTCTTAAATTCGAGGTGATCGCGATGGATCGCGAACTGGTGGAGAAGTTCATTGAAGTTACGGGTGAGTATCGCCGTTGTGACAAAGCGAATGTATTCATCCAGGTTAAAAATCACAATCAGCAAATGGAAACCTCATAGTGTGGATGTAAAAACATACACGTTTCTTATATCCGAATACAACATGTGCAACATATGCATAATAACTATTAATTAATCATTTCTGCCAAGAGCAAAATGTACGAAAAATAATAGAATTTAATTTCTCACAGTAATGGCCGTTTCGTCACTTGTTTTTCACAGTTTCATTTTCCTCTGGTAACGGCAGATGTTTATATTGAATATTAGCAGTATTGAACGCATTGAAAATACCTTACTTTGAATGATTTTAGTTATTGATAAATATCACTAAATATTGTATTCTCATTAGGTGAGAGTGAAGCAACAGCACAGCAGTATTTGTCATTAGCTGATGGGAATGTAGAAATGGCGATTAGTTTAATGTTTGAAAGTGGCAGACCATTAGAGAATGAAAATGTGAATGCTGACCCAGCAGTGAGAGCTCCTATCTTACCCACGCAAGAGATATTAGTGCCATCAGAGCCAGTGTGTTCATTTCCACGAATATCAAACAATGTGTTCGACAGATTTAGAGATTTTGCAGTAGAAACCCGTATGTATGATATTAGAGAGACATTAATTGAATGTATAAAGTATATGTTACATGTTAGATAATACAGTTAAAAATACAAAATTATAATTCTCATTGTTAACTTAATTGATATAGAACGGCAAGAAGAAGAAATGACTCGTAGAGTATCTGGTATGAAACATATCTGTCAAAGAAAATCAAAACGATTAGAAGATCTATTCCGACCTCCGTGCAACATACTTTTTCTGGGCTCTTTTATGGAAGCTCGAGATCATGCTAAAACACTGAATCGTTGGCTGCTTGTCAATGTCCAAAATCCACAAGAGTTTTCTTGTCAAGTGCTCAATAGAGACGTTTGGCCAAACCAACAGATTCAAGAGATTGTGAAGGATCATTTTGTCTTGTGGCAAGTATGTCATGTCAGAATATGTTGTCGCAATATAGCACTTATTTTAATATAGTAATTATTTTGTCCTGTTATATTTAATATAGTATTATATAATAATATTTTATTATATAATAATATTTAATTATATAATAATATTTAATATAGTAATTATTTTGTCCTGTAAACTGTGGTTACAATTAAATGGCAATTTATATCAGTTTCAAGCTGCTGTGTAAACATAATCTATATATGTACAATTTTACTTTTATCAGGTATTATCTAATACATCAGATGGAAGACGTTACATAGACTTTTACAATGTAGTGGAGTATCCTTATCTGGCAATCATAGATCCCAGAACAGGAGAATGTATGAGAACCTATAATAATATCTCTGTGGACAGTCTGATATCTGGTTTAAATGATATGTTGAGCACGCACGCATCCCCAGAAAGCGCCTCACAGGATACATCGAATTCTAAAGATTGGAACAATTTTCCTACATCACCTCCGAAACGAAATATCTTGAATGATCAAATAAAGAACGTTAGTAGTTAAGTTTACAATCATAAATAATAATAATTTTATTTCTGTAATTAATTATTATATCATAATATTTTCTCTCAGGATTGCGGACCTAGCAGTAAAACTTCCAGACTCTTGTCAGAAAACGTCATAGATTCGGGTTGGTATTTGTATTATTTATAAAAAATAATTTTAGAAAGTACTTATTTATATTGAAATATCAAGCTGTTTATTTACCTCGTGAAGTGAATTGCATATCTTATTGCATACCGTTTTACTCGGTTTGTCAAATATTTGTATTGTTACATGCACAGAGAACGAAAATATGTTGTCTGATAACATCACAAGTTCAAGTGTTCCAAGCAGCAGCAGCAGCAGCAGTAGCAGCAATAGTAATAGCAGCAGCGGCAGCAGCAGTAGCAACACTATTATTAATAAGAAAAGAAGGTTGGAAGAATGTGATATTGATAAACCTCAGCAAAAGACGGAAAAATTAAAGCCAAGTACAGCTAAAGCTGGTATAGGTGAGTGTGATATTCTTGCTATACATTGCGATATTCTCAACAAGCGCATTTTTCGTTTTATTTGCAAAATTATCTCTGAATTCAGGTGACGAACCTTTCCTACGGCTCTGCTTACGGTTGCCAAATGGTACGAGAGAAACTATATCAATATGCGCGACAGAGACAATAGAGGTAAACGCTCGTAATTATTATACCTCTCTGATACTACGACACGCGTGAGAAAGTTACATCCTTGCAATTTTGTTTGTAGGACTTTCTGATTAAAATGGAAGAAATGGGATTCCCACCAACGGAGCATACTTATTTGGTGCCATATCCGAAAACAAACGTTGGCGCATTGTCTCCCAACATCCGTCTATTAGACACAATTTTATTTCCGGCGAATACAGTATTCATAACGAAGATATAGTAATATCCCACAAAACGAACTGTGCTTCCTCTATGATTTCCCAACTGGCATCTCAAGCAGAAATAAGTCCGCTGAAATTGTCTAGAAATTGTATACGCTGTGTGCGTACTTAAAAGTTGAATTCCTCGAGAAATTGGCAAACAAGTCGACTCGTCTCGATCACGTGTTTCTTTTATTTATTCAAATTAATATATCCGAAATTTAAGGCACGATATTGCTAGAACGGATGATGGACACAGTAAAGCACTGCCACTTCGGTGTTCATTTCGTGTAGAAATTTCGCTCGATAACCTTTCTACTTTAGAGTAAGATTTTAATTAAGAAAGGAGGATAGCTGCGACCCTAATATTTATGAAAAAAATCGTTAATTACATACGCTGTGTACATCTATTGTCCGTATTCATCACTATTGATAATCTCATTATTACTATCTGCTTTTTTTTTTTTCGATTCTTGGCCAATTTTACAAGAGCCGTCCATATTGTTATAACAGTTTCGATATTTATTCCCTGCGAAAATATTTCAATATGGCGCAAACGACAAATTTAAAACACCTGGCAGATATTTTATACGATTTTATTGCGCAATAAATTTCGCAACTTTATTACGTAATAAATCAAAGATTTTGCGGCATTCTACACGAAAAAAAACTTTTCGCCAATGTGATTCAAGTAACGAGAACCAAGTAAAAATTCATATTGTGGTATATTGTAGCTACGAAAATAGTCAATGGTAACAATTCTATACATTGCCGATAGTACAAGATGTTATGTCAATGTGCGATCTTCGTCAAGATTAATTAATCGGTTCAAACTTAAAACTGCCGGTATAATTAAGATAGATATAGATCGTGATATTTTATGAGTATTGATTGTAACTAATATCTGGTAGTATACTGGTGTTACCCATCGACTATAGTAATGTTTCACGTGCACCATATATTTCTATTTATACTTATTTTCCAGTGTATAATATTACATAACTCTCTATATACTGTTCAATAATGGTAAGGAAAGGTGTCTCTTCAAATTTACGCGTCTCATATTATGTATCTATCTATCAAATGGATATTAAATATAGGATATAATTGAATTTTATATATTGATATTTCGCACCATCACTGTATAAAATATTTTAAATTACGATATAGTGCATGTTCATTGTAACAAGAGAAATCTGTGCAATTGACAAGAGTATCTGATATTTTGTGCACATGTGATAAGATATATGCATTACTTGGTAAATTTCAAAGTCACGGCCGTAATATGTTACATTACACGTTATTTTGTATTCTTAATCACTTCTTTTCAATACAACAAAGGGAATATGATAATGCAGGACTCGTGTATTAAAATATTAAGTCAGGATCTTCATTGTTGTGTGATAACAAGGTTCTGTGAAAACAACTTTCTACGTGTTTCATACATATTATTGATCTATATATACATTTATATATATATATATATACAAATTAAAAATATCGCATTTTTTTAACATATACAGATATAACTTTAGTGACGTTGATTTTTGATATCACGTACAGCCATTCAACATACTTGAATACATACTGTTAATACGAGATTTATAAATTATATATGTATCCTCACTGAGATAATTCTACAGTATAAGTACCTGAAGTAAAAATGATGAATAATTGTAGATAAAATGGTACAGCGTTGTTGTGTGGAATAGTCTTTTCTTTTTGTCGTTTTTGGTTCAAGTAACAGATATCTGTTAAATTTTCTCTTCGTAAGTGTCGCAGATACACAATTACTTTTTGTTTGATAACTTACTTCGAATAGATGTACCCGTCGCGGTAAAACTACGCGAAACATTGTAACCCGATTAGACCAGCAGTGATGACAAACGTTAACGCTTATTGACGTTAACTTCTATCTATCGATTTAATTTATATACAACCTGATGTGCAAAGCAGGATATTAGTGAGGCGGTTGTATGAGAGATGTCTGTGCACGCAAGGCGAAACCAGTCACGTCTTCTGTACAGTGGAATGAGAAAAGAATAACAGAATATTAGGTATGAGATAAGATATAACTGATAAATAATAATGTCCTATATTATTGACGATATTAAATAAAAAATAAACAGTGTCGTGCTTTGCTAAAAATTAATGTGAAAGATGACGATTGATTATAGATAATGTATGTGTCTCCCATTCCATTTGCACAAATGCCAATGTTAACAAAATGAACTTAATAAATATATCGGAAGAAATTAAGAAAATTAAACGTCGAAAAAGAAATTAATATAAATGCAATTTTTTTAACGGTTTTGTGATTTTCGTGAGTGTTATGTGACGTGTACTGTATATATTGTACTTTTAGATAATGCACATGCTAACATTTTTTTCTCCAATACACAAAGATAATACACGAATTTTTATTCATATACATGTCTCAGTACATCATATAATGATAATTATAATTTTCATCAAACAGATCTTGTATGGAGAATCAACACAATATTAAATATCATAATAATCACTATTCATCTACATCTTTCTTAAATTATATGCTTCTAATATAATAAATATACATTTGAAGACCATATTTTGAGTATTATACATTTGCATATATATACACATAGTGGATAAAGTTATATTAATTGGAGAAAAATGCTGTCCAAAAATATTAAATACTATAGGTATTGGTAAATAATAAGTTTCTTATATACTTTCATTTCACAATATCAGCAAATATATGGATAGAAATATATAGAGATTTCATCAAATATTAAATATTAACGTGATATAAGCATTTGAAACATGACATTGATTAATATATAAATATAATATATATATATATTATATATTATATATATATATTAATTATCCTTTCAGTGACTAGTTAAGAAAATACAGTTTTACAATCAACATTATATTGCTTTCAATTCTAAAATCATCTCTCAAGCATCGAAATCTCTTTCTTGATAAATTGCTACATTGTCCATAAGTATATCCATAAAAAAATGCATGGTAATATCTATGATACACAATATTTCATCAAGCTTACCTAAGGTACATTTGAAAATAGATGTCAAAGCTTCGTATTATATGGATTGGTATGAAAACATATATAGTGTTGTGTATACGGTATAGCAAGAGGTTGTTAAATTGCAAAGCATTTTCACTCAATCTACCTTAATGACTCGAAAACATCAAACTATAGAAATTTATGCAAAGAATTCTTCTTCCATACCGAGATGTTCCAGGAAAATACCCATCGGCGTACGTTTCAAGCCAATACCCTCAATTTTATTGACAAGTTTGTTCTTCATATTTCTTAATCTCAGTGATGCGTGCACAAAAGTCACTGGAAATGTACAAGCAGTATAATACAAGGACACAAATCTTTTAGCAATGAAATTGATTCCTATTAATTGAATGGCATATCTGTGACATTCAATTATCAATTACCACAAAATGGCAACAGTATGCCCAGGAAGAAAACAATGAGCGATCCCAGAGTATATGTTAGAAAACATCCTGCTAGTATTATAAAAGTTATCCCAACTGCTGGATATCGTTTCTTAAAGTTATATGCTGCGCTTCCTTCCATGGATACATAGATGAATACTCCCAAGATGACCAACATGGCTAACATACCGACTAACATTTTAACAGGATGAATCAATCTGTATTGAAATGTATAGAAATGCATATGATGAATAAAATCTTTTCCTATAAAGGGTATGATATGCCAAAGTTGAGAAAAGAATGGTATCATTTTTTAAATAATTGTCAAAACATTTCAGGTGCCTCAGGACTTTGTATATCTGCTGAAAGTAATCTTATCAATAAGACGATTGTCTTATCATTTGGAACAATAGTAATATCAGAAATACCCGTTGTTCCAGCTACCATATAAATCGAATAAATCGAATATAACAAACAGCTCCGAGGCCAAGAGAGCTTTGAAATCACATTGGCTTGTGAAAAAAAAAAGGGACGGCATTTACACAATCGACAATTTCTACAAAACTGCAAGATCAGTGAGAGCATACTCACCCAACGACGAGAAAGATGATGACAGACATGAACAAGTAGTTGGTTTGATAATATAGGAGATTGTTGACTACACGGTTGCCCCATTTTTCCAAGTCTTTCAAATTCGGTATTTGGAAGCGTGCGGAACCGAGCAGAAAGTCATCCAGGCTGCGCAACGGCGGCAGCTCAAAATCATTGCTCACCAATTTTGTCTTATCCATCGTGGTAGTGGCGACTATCTATGCGCGTTTTCGAGATACGATTCACCCTCTTCGAGGCGCGATCTCTCTCTAGCTAGACCAGTCGATCTTTCTCTACCTCTTCCGTCTACACGTTCTTGCGTTCGTCAACCGGTATGTATTTTTGGACGATGACGAGTCCGGCACGAATGTCACGCGTGGCTGACGACGCGAATCGGAAACGATTGATCGATTTATCCCCGGATTCGCGTCGATCACCCGAGTCGTGAGCAACGTGAGAGCGTTATGCCGGAAGGAGCGATGCAACGTGGCGAATCAACCGGGACTATTGTTTCAGCGTTGTCCTCCGCGCGTGAATTTTGACAGCGATCATTTGCCGCGATCGGTATTAAAGCGGGTATTCTTCATGTTTCCAGGCACCTTCCGGCAGATGGCACATCGACGATAACGTGCGAGATCGAAAGAGGTCACTCATATTGAGCGACGAGGATGCCCATATTACCGCGGGAATTTGAAATATACACAAAAGACTGTTTTAAGAGGCTCGCGATTTCAATTGTTAACAATTGCGCGTCGAACGTTTTCTCTTTTTTTTTGTTAATTTTTTGCGTGTTTATTGTCACGCAAATCTTTCTGAATTTTTATCGAACGGCGAGCTGATTTACCCTACCGCGTATCTTAAAACGTGTTTCACAGCAGTTTCGTACAAGTAGTTCGAGTACATTTATTAATAATTATACGTCGAACGGGCTTTTCTCTTTCTTTTTTTTTTCTTAATTTTTCTACACACACACACACACACACGCATACTCATTGTCGCATGGATTTTCCAAAGTTTTTATCGAACGGCGAGTTGACTTGCTCGACCGTGATGTTTAAAACTGTGTTGGAAAACCGTTTCAAGCAGTTCGCCTTGAATTATTGATAATTATACGTCGAACAATCCTTCTTCTTATCTTTTGGTATATACACGCGTGTTCGCCATCACGCGGATTTCAATAGGTTTTTATCACAGATATGGTGGATCTCCATGCCGCGATAACTTAAACGCGTCAGAGAGCTGTTTCGAACACGTCTAATTTCACGTTTCAGTTCACGTCTAATTATTTGTAATCATGCGCTGAATGAATTTTTTTTTTTATTTTTTTATGCATCCACGTGTATTAACTATCACGCGGATTCTCTAGTTGAATTTTTTTTTTTCAGGCGGCGAGTTTGTTTGCTCTGCCGCGGTGTTTAAAACGTGTTCCAAAGTCGTTTCAAGTATTTCGCGTCGAATTATTGATAATTACTTGATGTCATGCAGAATCTTAAGTTAACTGTTCAACGTGAAGTCACGTTTAACTATGCAAAATATATTTAGTCTGAAAATGCTGATATACCGTAGACTAAAAAATGAGACGCATATCGTTATTGTCGATCAGTCAGAAATATAAATATAAAACATATAAAAAGAAATATAAAACAGATCAAACTTTCTCGAAAGTTCTTGTCATTCTCTCGTGTCTTTCGTCCTTATTAAAATTAATTACACTCTAATGGGTTTGTGCCTTCGTCGATGACATAACCATTTTTCATAAATTGCGTCGCTATTCATCGAAGCAAGGATAGGACTACGAAAATAGGCTCCGCAGTAATTGCATAAAATTTGAGCGTAACAAGTTTGTCTGTCTCTAAAAATGAAAAAAAGATGAAAATATGAAGTAAATAAACAATATGCAAAATAGACAGTGGGAGCCGATCGATCGTTTCTCACAATTTCAACGAATGTTCAATCGCGGCTTTTCGTAATTCTTCAACAATCGTACGAATAACTTACATAAGAATGTAGCACTGCATATTACATTGCGGACAATCATACATCTTATCCTGCACCTTATAATGTTCAATAACTTGACATCTCATCTTCTCCGTGAGATTATTTAAAAAATTTACATATTTGATTCTTAATTGCTTAAGTTTTTAAACAAAAAATTCAATGTACATACAATAGGCTTTTATCGAGAATATATTTTTCGAGACAATGGGAGAGTGCAGAGTTCCGTTTGTGCAAGGAAAAGGAAAAAAAATCCGAACTATCGTTAAAAATATCATTACGCTCTCACTGCTTCCACTTGTTTGTTAACCTTTCTTTTAAGACCTTTTCTGCAATTAATATACCTTGATAGTATAGTAATTAAAAGTTACATATAATACGGAAATTTTATTCAAAAAATGACTACCTTTCACATGATATTCTGCTGAAACTTCTCAGGTAGAAACTTGCTGACTTGTGTATCCTATGCTCCTCTCGCCAGCTACCTATTATTTCTTATATTCGTATAATGCTGTTTGTTTTGACTTTTTACAAAGGTTAAACAAAACAGTTTGTTTAACTTTTTCTTGGAACGTTTGAAGAATCGTTATGAGATGCGTGTACATGTGTGTATACTTTTATGTACTTTTTTAGAGATTTATTTTCACACGTATTCTGTGAACTTCATTAAAAATATTCAACATGCAGATATTCGTTAAATATAATAAAATAATTTTGCGTTTAAGGTAAAGTAAATTAAGTTTAAGGTTTAAGTAAATGTCACAATGTTAGAAGTATATTGTGTATATATTTAATATATGTATGATAATGCGATATATGAAATTAAATATTAATAACACGTGATAATTTTTGCACCCTGTTGAGTAAAAGGTCCCCTTGCTTCACCATCGCTTGGTACTGCCAGTTTTTACTGTCCGGCCGATTGGTTTCGACTACACCACCGACTCGATCAACCTTGCAATGTAATCTCCCTGCTGCTATGAAGCGTGATAATTCTCTGTAAAATTTATTCGATAATTAGTACGACACTGCGTATCTCAAAGTCTACAGATAATGTGGAATACATGATGTTGGATTAATAATAGAGAGAATAAAACTAATATTAAAGCAATGGTACAAAGAGATACACAGAGTTGATTACTTACTGATCAATGTACTCTACTGTAACTCCAAACGCTTCAGCCATATACTGGAGAGTTAAAGATCGGTAAGATTCCAGCAGCTGCGTGTACGCGAGTATACGCATCTCTCGAATGTAATATCGATAGTGTGGAAATACCAAATAATCTCGGCGCAATAATCCTTCGACGTGTGCTGAAATTGATACCTTGATTCACTACATGGTCTCGCGAAAATAAATTGACTACAAGGTAAGATTTTTATCCACGGATTTACCAAGATTCTTGAAGAAATCCGCATAATGGCAATTATACAATGAAAATAAGTAATCCTTGACGTCTGGATTGCTATGAAGAACCTCTAGTATTTCAGATCCTTTAATGATTTTGTCTCTCAGCTCATTGCGCGGGAGACTTATCATACTCAGATATACAGTATACCTTACGAATGTATTGTAATCCATAAGTTCGTAACTCGTAAATGTGCTAATTGTGTCCAAGAAAAAGTTTGCAGCTTCTTTAAAGTTACGAACTGCTATGCAGTATGTTCCCTGATAGACCTTCAGACGATTTCGTCTATCCCAGTCACCACCTTCCTCTATCAAACTATGAAAAATATATACATTAATTTGTTAGAAAATTTATTATGCGCACAAGTGAAACACAAACATATATTTTTATTTTTACCAACCTTTTCGCCTTTTCGATATTTCTGGTGATATGATCGTGATCTAGATAGAACAAACCAATCCTAATATTATGAAATACAATGTCTAGCCTGTGTCCTAATGAAACTGTCTTGTCGTACGTTTTTCTAAACGCTGAGATTGCACCTTCCTTGTCACCTATTCGACACAGATATTCAGATTTCTTCAAGTTTGCTTCTCGAACCTCCATCTCGCCTAAATTCTTTTCGGCATCTTCGATAGCATCATCGAGTTTTTTCAATTGTTCCGTATTATGTGCCTTCATTGTTGAGAGAAGTGCTTCGTCTACTGACCAATCCAAGTCTTTACACACCTCTTCGTAAAATGGAGCCATGTCTGTAACATAAAAGATTATAGTCAATTACTGATAAATATCATACAATTTGTTGCAATCAACTGAAAATTTCGTCATATACGACTTTAAAATGAGTACACACGTAGATAGAAAGAGGTTAAGAGTGATGACAGATGACAGATCTCGACGATCGGGAGACAAAGATAGTGTAAAATTTATTTCTTTTAAACAAAATTAGCCCTGCCTTTGTAAATTATTACGTAAAATTGTCGGGAAATAATATAACAAGAACTGAGGAAAAAGATGCAATCTCACTTTCAGCTTTGATGGCATCCAACAGTTTCGTCTTCAAAGAATGATCATTCTTGTGCTCGGGAAGACTCAGCAGGAATTTAGTTTGCGCCAATTCCAGGTTCGGATTTTTCTCCAAGCCTTCCTCTTCCAAATTTTCCAATGGCATCGTGAATCTCGACACAATCAAAAACACTCGACGAGATGAACCGACACTTTTGGTATGTCTTCTCAAACACAGGTTATGGGATGGCCTTGATGAAAAACACTTCATGTTGCTCTCAATAGAGGCCATACCAGCCACATTCTTCAATTTACCTAATCACTCCGATAGATGGAGTCACTAACTTTAATGTGAGCCCGCGTCGGCATGATTTTTAAATGTTGCCAATTATTCGCCGTCCTTTTGCTTCACAATGTCGTCCAAATGTTTTTCTCACGATAGAAGAGCATACCTCGCAACTGCAGCATTTCTGAGCTATGAAGAAAGTTTCGACGCAGCAGAGAATTCTTTTCATTTTCTTCCATCTTCCGTAAGATATTTTTTCGAGTAATTCTTGGTTAAAATAATTGTGTGCTCTGATCGTAAAATGAAGCGGTATTTGAAACGAGCTGCCCTGTTGATAAAAAAAAAAAAGAAGATAGATACAGAATCAAAACGCACAGTTTTGAAAAACCTTGTCAAATATATATCCCGTCAATTTCCTGATGAAATCCTCGATTTCTCTCTCTGTTCACCCACATCGATAGGTACAGTTTCTTAATTCTTACTTCAGGTAAAAGTAACGAGAGAAGGAGAGAGGCTGAGGTTACGGCTGAGTGAGCAACGCATTCCGCTTGTTTCAACGAATCAATTTATTTTCTTTGACACAAACTGCCACTGACTCTTTCAGGTAAGGTGAGCCCAGAGAAAGAGAAAAGTCTGTCTCCACAAGATTCATTTTATATGTTAAAATTTACAAGAAGGGGCGTGTGTTTCGGCGCGAGAAATGCGACTTGGTTTGTTTCTGTCGTGCAGCCGTTGTTTCGCAGCTCGGTCACAAGCAGGTGACTTCGAGAATGCCTTTCTCGTTTCGTTCTGTCTAAGCTACGGGTCTTCTCTCTCACGCGACGTTAATTTGAATCATCTCCGCGATAACAACGCGACGACAACTTCGCGATCGCCTAACCTTCATACTTTTTTTCTCTCTCTGTTTCTCTCTTCACGACAAACAACGGAGGAGTTATTAGCGGCGGGGCACGCACGGAACAACAACAGCGAAAGTTGGCTCATAGAAAAAACGCACAGACTCTGATTAATTAGCGATTCTTAACTGTGGTCTCGTTTACACTCGTGTTTGCCGATTCTTCCTTCCTTTTCCCGCTCTAGTTGTTTGATCTCGGTTTCTTTTCTCTCTTCTTTCTTTTATTCGTTTCAAAGCGACCGGCGCGATACGAGAACGTGATTGAACAAACGTCAGCCTCGTCCTCGTACCGCAGGTTGTAATCGTGTGGCAGGTTTTCTCTCCTGCGCATCTCTTATTTTCCTTCAAACACAACACACACACACGCACACGCGCACACACACACACACACACACACACACACACACACACACACACACACACACACACACACACACACATATCGTACGTCCAGTATTTAAGAAGTCCAGCTACGCTTAGTGATCCTTTAATAATTGTGTGATAATAATCGCACAGTGACTGCGTCCCTTTACTTCTTAATTCGACTCGATAATAGCCTAGAGGATTACTCGTTAAAACGTTAGCCTCATTAGCGAAAAACGACGGAAAACAACGGGCAAGGATGTCGGATCTTTTCCTCACGGTTTTTTTCTTGCGTCGCGCATTCGTACAAGATTTCGCACAAGATCAATTTGGAACGCTTCCTTTATAATCGAATGATTTGTTTCTAATCAGTTTCGTACACATGCACACATCATGGCCGCGATTGTAGATTCTCGGCGTTCGAGACATCAGCCTGTACGCAGACATTCGTTGAGAATCCATCGGGTACTCGTTGGACTTCCAAATATCCCGCAGCACACTACACGCACACACACACACACATATATGTATATATATATATATATATATATATATATATATACACACACATATATATGCACATAACTCATAGCAAATTGTGAGAAAAAAAAATGATACGAGCAAGTTACATACGAGTAAGGGACACATACACAGAATCACACACGGGTATTCGCGATTCGCGACGATCGCACCAAGTCCAAGTTTCGTGGCGGGCGTTTCCATCTCGCTCGCCGGGCATATTGTTTTTCTCGGGTAAAGAACACCATTGCTTTGGATTTATATATCAGTAGTGTATTTGTAACAATTTATTTTCACATAAAGTAGTGTCGTAGCATTGACATCATAGTACTGACGGACATCCAGATTTACAGAGTATTGCGGGATACTCGGGTGTATCCATTGAGCACCCAAATGAAACGTCCCCCATGTCGAAAGGGATCTGCGTGTTCGGCTTACGGGGTCGGGCGGCAAGGAGCAGAAATTTTCTAAGTATCGTCGAGCATCCGTCACCCTTCCTTCCCGCGACACAATCGTAGGAGCGATGAATATTCGAGAAGTACATTCGTTAATTCGAATACAGAACACATCTCGATTAGCCCGAGCGATCGCGATCCGATCGACGGCAACGACCGACGGCGATGACGGGGCGGCGGATCGGCCGATCGTTCGGACGCACACGTAGATATACACTATTACGTTTAATTAGTAGGTAGGTAGAATAATAGAGGTTCGAAGCGATTAAAAAATATGTCGGAGGCCGGAGTGCCGGCCCAAGCTCTCTTACTCGCTCGCTTACTCTTGGATTTTGTTTCTCTCTTTTTTGTTTTTTGCTTTGTTTATTCGACACGTTCAACAGCGAATCCACCTTTTATATCTGTATAATATATAATATTTATACTTAATAATAAAGTCCCTTATAGCGATCAATTTACAATCAGTTAATTTGATTAATCGAAGAGTCAATTAATTAGTTAGTGATGGCGAATCTCTCTCTCTCTCTCTCTCTCTCTCTCTCCCCCCCTCTCTCTCTCTCTCTCTCTCTCTCTCTCTCGCCGGTCTCTCAACCGTCGTCTCTCGTCTCTCGGCGAGTACCGGCGCGGGAATACAATATTTTAATCCTCGTCCCTCTCTCGCATTTCGAAACGATGAACGTTTGCGCGGACTAACACACCGACATGACATCTATATTCATGGCCGCCGCTCGGAGTCGGATTGGATTCTGAAAAACATCTACTACAATACTTCGATCGCGTACGTACGTACTCGCGTGACTCGCGTGTGAGTGCGTCTGAGGCCGATGGAACGAAAGAAACATCTATAATAATATAGACATCAGTTATTATATCAACGATTCTTCATTCTATACCCTGTGCATCATCTTAAATGTCTCGACACATCCTATGGTGTGTGTTGCTCTCGCGCGCTTATCCTTACATATTTATATTCAATATATAATATTTATAGTTTATTTATAATATCTATATATATATATATTTATATTTATATATTTATATATTTATATCTGTGTATATATATATATATATATATATATTTATTTATATATAATCATGCCAGATGCGTCACTTTACAGCGTCGGTCAGCGACAAAGGAGGATGTCGATTTAATAATGCCAGCTATTAATACCTATACGACTGCGTGTAATTTTGTGTGTGTTTGTTTGTGTTTGCGCGCGTGTGTGTGTGTGTGTGTGTGTGTGTGTGTTTGTTTGCGTGGGGAGTGTGAGCATTGTAATTGTGTATTTAATATATAGTGACTTTCGGCAATGCGAAACGCATAACAGAATATAATTAACGAGACAACGTAACGCGACTATGTTAACGACAGTAACATATGTAACTCCACAGCGATATCGAGTTCTAACGATAAATAATAATCAGAGTTGCAACGAGAACGGCGATGGCTGTTGCGGCGGGCGCGAGGTACGAAAGTGTGGCGGGCGTGATAAACAAACGTACGAATAGTCTCTTCCTTCTGCCTCTCGTTAGGACTTACGTCTTACATTTAAAGTGAGCTCGGCATCCGGTTGCGTGGGTGTTCTTACTTAGACTTCTAGATTCAAATGTTATAATTCGGTCGATCGTTAGCGGATCACTATTCCGCACGCGTTAAAAAAGCCGGTTCTATCAACGTCGGTTAATATCGACCACGGTTCAATCGACCCTTCGTCCACTTCCGCTTCCGATTCTGGAAGGTGACGAAGAGGCTTACTCTTTACCCGAGAGAGTTTCACGTGACACTTGGACTTTGTGTAAATGTAATTTAGAGAGACTCTCGACAAGAAGAAAGAAAAGGACGCTCAAGAGTGATGCTTATCGCGACTTATCTTTGCCAATCCGAGATTCACTTTACTCCGCGTGTGTAACAATACACAGTTGTCTGTGTAACGCGATTCGCATACAAAGAGAACAAGATCGTGGTTGGACAATAAATTCATCTGACCTGGATTGAACTGCGATTAAGCTCGACCGACATTGATAAAAGCGGCTGCCCTACGATTAAAGAAACACCGGCGCAATCGGGCCCTGGCTTCGCCTTACTATGTGCAGTAACCTTAACGATACGATGACGATAACGATTAATATTTACTCTGTTAAAAAAGCCCACGAAACTCACATAAGTGGTGAGCGCAAACGGGGCGTGGCTCGCAGGTTCGCAGCTCGATGATATCTTCTCTTTACATTCAGGTCTGCCGAGACGGTGGAGTTCCCTTCCGACCAAGTGCGTTCGATGCTCTCTCAGCCGTTCGTTCGATGCGATCGGAGGGCCGAATCGGACGATTTTGCTGGCGGCGGCGGCGGCGGCGGCCTCGCGAGAAGCGACGCCGGATCGGAAGAGCTTCGACACTTTCGCGTTGAACTGCAGTTGCGGCCTCGAGTGCACAAGAATCAGGTGAGTCTACTTCCGGTCAGCTATACGTCGGTCAGAAATGTACACGCGGAAAAATTCGATCACATTGTGCGCGTTTGAAGCA